AAGAGTTTTGAAAAGGATGATAAAATGGTTAAATACCTTTCTGTCTGCATTGCAGTTTTACAAAGAGCTCTACTTTTTACGACTAGATAGATCATAACTAATGCAAAGGCTATACAAAGAACATTAGTTTTTAGCCAGGACTACTTTGGGGAGTTTGCTGCCTTGATTTTCTTTTTTAGCCTAGTCTTTACAGGTCAAGCTAGTCTAATATTTTCATCCAACCCCTGCCTCTCTGGTTATAGGAAGTGGAACAGGAGCAGATTATGTTTGAATTTGTTGTATAGTTATGGAGGTTATATTTGTTTAGGGGGAGCCATCATTTTCCTCTCTGCTTGTTTCTACCATGACTTGTAAACTACGAAGTTCTTTCTGATAAGTATCTTTCCCCCTTCTTTATAGCCCCTCAGATGGCTTCCTAAGGGAAAATTAAATGAGGTTAGGAGGAATTGAGTATGCTTTTTTGCACAGTGCCTTCTGGCTCTATTTTGGAGCTCCCAATTCTTAGGATATGCATTTCTTTATTACTCTAAATGGTAGATTTATTTGAGCAGACTGGACCCTGTGAGGAAGAAGCAAATGCTTCTAAGTTTAATTTACAATTGAAATTAATTTGGTCACTGGTTTCAGCCATATTTTTATCTTCATCTGACTCCTTTATTACGTTGTTTCTTGGTTGGTTGTGAACCCATCGTAATGGAGGTAAAGGTTGTTATAGATGTTCATTAATACACTTAGAATTTTTTATTCTTCTTGGATAGAATGTTTATGAGGGGTCAAGCTAATGTTGGTTTGCTGTGGTTTAGTTTAGCATCCTTGAAACTGTGACCTACCTTCCTAAGCAGGTGGTAATATAGAATTCAGAGATAGAAGGTAAGCAATCAGCATTCAAAGAGATGCTTTCTAGGAGAGGATTAAGAGGTTAGCAAATGTTAGTTGCAGGTTGTGGGAATACAATGAGATGAGTACAGTAGTCCTCCCTTATCTAGGGGGATACATTCCAAGACCCCCAGTGGATGCCTGAAAGCTCAGGTTGTAACAAACCATACA